CTATGTTCAAAAACTCGATACATGGGTTCCTCACGAACTGAAAGAATCACAGTTAACGCAACGCATTAGCAGCTGCGATTTGCTAAAGAAACATAATGAAAATGATCCATTTTTAAAACGACTGATAACTGGCGATGAAAAATGGGTTGTTTACAACAATATCAAGCGGAAAAGATCGTGGAGCAGGCCACGTGAACCAACTCAAACAACATCAAAAGCTGATATTCATCAAAAGAAGGTTTTGTTATCAGTTTGGTGGGATTACAAAGGAATTGTCTACTTTGAACTCTTACCACCCAACCAAACGATCAATTCTGATGTCTACATTGAACAACTAACGAAATTAAACAATGCAGTTAAAGAAAAGTGGCCCGAATTGACAAATCGAAAAGGTGTTGTATTCCATTATGACAATGCAAGGCCACACACATCTTTGGTCACTCGGCAAAAATTAATGGAGCTTGGTTGGGATGTTTTGCCACATCCACCATATAGTACTGACCTTGCACCATCTGATTACTTTTTGTTTCGATCTTTACAAAACTCCTTGAATGGTAAAAATTTCAATAATGATGATGATGTCAAATCGTACCTGATTCAGTTTTTTGCTAATAAAAACCAGAAGTTTTTTGAACGTGGGATTATGATGCTGCCTGAAAGATGGCAAAAGGTCATTGATCAAAATGGGCAATACATTACAGAATACAGTTATTTAGTTCCATTAAAAAATTGTCTTTGATTTTCTTTAAAAAATCCGCAATTACTTAGTTGCCGACCCAATAAAAGGTGTTTGTAGTCACTGCTCAGCTCAGGGAGGTCTCCAGACGACTCAATTCATCCCTTATCAACCTCACTCCACCCTTCACTGCTACACAAGGTGCCAGGGCCCCACTGCCCTCACTTTGGTCCACCAGTATCCTCACGTGTTTGGAGGAAAGGTGTCTACTCAAGGCATTTTCTACAGGGACTAAGCAAAGTTCTAGAACATATACGGCCTGCACTGTAGACGAGTGGTCCTTGAAAGAGGTGTTCTCTGCAGATAAGGTGAAGCCTTTACCCAAGAATTATTGCTTTTATCCCTTTGTATAGTACAAACACCAGAAAGAGCTGGTGAGGTTGCTGTAGGGGCTTGTCTGCTCTGGGGACTTCTTGTTTTTTTGTTTTGTTTTGTTTTGTTTTGTTTTGTTTTGTTTTGAATATGACACGTCCTTTAAGTTCATTCTTCACAATACCCATCCTATCCCTGTTTTCCTTTCTAGTCTCTTGAAAATAGACCTTTTATATTAATAATTGTTTGGAATGTTATGCTGATGCTTTAAGCAAACAGTGGAAAGTCATCAGGTGTTTTTGGAAGTAGCATGGGAGAAAGACTAGAGATAGGGAGAACACTTGAAGAGTGGGTGAGAGATGACAAAGGCCAGAAGAACAAGGCACCAGCAAATGGAGTAAAGAGGAGGGACAACTAAGAGCTCTGCAGTGATTCAGTAGCATTCCCATGATGCTCAACACTTTTTGCTCTGTTGGGATACAAGTGTCCCAGCGTTCAGCTACCATTAATAGTGGCCTTGTCCACCTAGCTGTGGTCCTTGTCCCACCCCACCCCAATTCACATCCCCTGGACTAATGTTTAAAACCTGTCAAACATGTCCCACATTAATAAGTAAGTAGCACTAAGGCAACAGTTGTTGAGAATAAGACTTACAGATTTCATGTTCAGGTCGCATGATACTTACTTGATAACATTTAGGCTATCCCTTAGTGTTGCATGACTATCATTGTGCTCTTAGGTAGAGAAGGAAGGGGCAGACCCAGGAGAATTTCTGTGAATTATTACAATCGTGTAAGCTTGAAGATTTTTTTGTCAGAGAGCCAGGGCAGAGGGCCTGGTGGAGAGATGTGGGAGAGCAGAGAAGGATAAGTAAACAAATTGTGTGAAATGTTTTAAACATGTTTAGAAGCTTTTGGCACTCATCCTCTTTCAGGAGAAGAAAGCAAGTGTCATATGCTTTCTAACTTTAAAGGTACCCAAAGCCATATTTGTAAGGCAGTTCGTGTGGATAAGTGTGAAGGAGCAGTTGAAAGAAGGGAAAGAGGTAGTGAGGGAGAAAATAAGTCTATAGTTCCATAACTATTACCCTTAATACACTTTTTGGGGGGTCATTTATGCAATGGGAAGGGAGACATCAGCCTAGTTTATGCCAAATCATTATAAAACTTGAATTTAGAGGCACCCATATTAACAAAGTTTTCTTGAATTTATACAGTGTCAGAGATCACATCTCATTGTATCCTAAAAGTGATCCTCAAAGTGATCTTTTAGCTCTCCCAGAACATGATGTAAAATGACAGATGTACATCCTGGGTTGTGAGAAAATATTGTAGTGCTGGCAGCTATTTCCTGGCTTTCATCTCATTTTGTGCTTTTTGCCTCTCTTTAAAATGCATCGGTGCACCTGTACAAAAGCTCTGTGGAGACAATAATGATGCTTGTTGGAGTGTATACATAAGATGCCTTTTCAGGAAAATTAATAACCTCTATTTTGATTTGGATGATGCTCTTACAAGGTAATTGACAGAGAGATGCTTTAAAATGTGAACCAAAATATCAAATTCATACCATTATCCATGTCCCCGCTGTTACTGACTCTAGATTCTGATTGATAGGTTGGCCCTATTCTTTTTGTTCCTACCATTGCTGCAGAATTCGTGAAGAGGGCTTTCAACTTGAAGTAGTAGCCATAAAAAATTTGAAGTAAAACCCCTTCTGAGTCGATGGAGATAGCAATGTTATGCCAAAAATATGGCTCATTTATAAGGTTTCTTCATTAGTCATAAACAATTTATTGTCTTACATTTTGGGGGCCCTATATCCACCCTAGACTGGAGGATGTAAGATCGAGGGAACCAGGTTCCAGAGAAGTTAATTGACTTCTGTATGGTGGTCTCATGGTTAGTTAATGTGGAAGCTATGGTTGGATCCCAGGTCTCATGGAGTCTGGAGATGAAGTGTTGAAATGGAGTTGCTGTAATATAGATATTAAGAGAGCTGAATGAAAGGAAACCAGAGATGAGTCAAATGAACAAAGAAAATCGTGGCTTTAAAACTTTTAGAAGGATGGGTGGACAGATATTCCATTCATGCTTTATATGTAGACACACATCGTATACGCATTTATTAAATGTGAATTCAACCACACTTTAAGAAAACTACAACAACTATAATAAAATAGGGTGTTTATGTCAGGTGACTCCTAAATACAACCAACCGTTTCATCTGGTGTTCAACTAGAGAACAATGATAGATTCCAAGGCAGGATAGACACATCAGCTGTGTTGGTTAGAACTTCTGAGATCTGATACTGTAAAATATCAAGGCTATTTCTGACTGTTATTCTATTTTATACACAAGATCAATGCCCACGTAAGATGGAAATTTAAAGTACTGAGGCTTTTTTTCTGATCAAAAGAAAAATTTCTGTGAATCAATTAATAGTTTACTTTATAAGCAACAACTTTTTCCTAATTTTTCAAATATTTCTGCCCAGGAATCATTTTCAGCATGAAATCTAGAGCAAATTTTTATATACTTTTAAAATATGTATAGTATTTTAAAATACAGGTATGGGCAAAAGTATGTGTACAGCTGTAGGCAAAACACAGAGTTTATTCTTTGGACTTAATAAAGGTATTGTAATAATCATTACCTGTATATGTTTTTCCATACAAACAACTATAAACCTACTTTGAGCAACCCCTGTATATAAAAACATTTCAAAACAAGAGCTTTAGGCTTGAACTTGAGTCTATTAAAGACATTTCTCATGTTTCTTTTGCTCAAAAAATAGAATTGAACATTATTGCTTTTTAAAATATGCTTTTGAAATGAAACACACATAATGAAAAATACACATAGCAAAAGGGTAGAGTGGATGAGTTTTCAAAAAACTGAACACTCCTATGTAAACAACATGAAGATCATTAAAAAAAAAAAACGTTGAAAGAGATCAACGGAAGAACTTGTATGCATGCATATAAGCATAACCAATGGACGAAAAACTCTGGGGATGGAGCGCATGTATGGGAGTGGGGATGGGTTGGGGATTGGTAAGGCATGTACCTTAATAAAAATAAAAATAAAAAGGTGGGGGGAGAGTTGACCAGCATCCCTGAATTCCCTGAGATGTATCCCCTTCTAATCATGCTATGCCAATGCTAACCACTCACCTGACTTCTAACACCATCCATTAGTTTTGCCTCTCTTTATATTACTAGTATATGTGAGTGTATTCATATTGCATTCCACTCATTTGTGTCCGGCTACTTTTGTTCAACATTTTCTTCTTGATATTTCTCCATTGTCAGTTTTTACACATTGTCCATTCACATTATGCTGTGTAATGTTGTGTTGTAAAAATATATCTTAATACTGCCCAAGTGTTTTACAGTTTACAGTATTAATTTTCTACCAGCCAGCAAAATAGGACAGTTTAAGTGACTACACATTTGAGCCCAAACTTGGTATTTTCCATCTATTTTATTTTAGTATTTCTGTTGAGCAATCATTGATTTTTTTTTAATCGACTAAATAAACCTCTATCAAACTCATGCCAAACATAGTCTTTATTGATGGACTAGTGTGTGATGGGGGTGGGCAGGGGCAGTGCTTCATGGAGTGGAATTCTTCATCATCCACAAGTTCCAAGAAGAAATACAATTTGAATGAATGACATAAGCAGAAATGTCTCAGCACAGACAAGTGTTTTTGTTTAAAATGCAGCCTTATTTTTCAGAGAATGCATTTCATTTAGGAATGAAGAGATATGCATATGGGCTAGAAATTTATGGAATCTGAAAACTGACATTTTTAAGATGTTGGGGGGGGGGATCGTAGGACAGAAGAAAACAGCAAGAACTTTATTATCTGTAGCACTAATTTTTGAGATCTTCATAGAAAACCCATACAAAGCAGTAGTTGATCTGAATTTTTATTACTGTTGCAGGGTCTCCATTTTGGTGCCTATTGGATATTGTTCCCATAAAGAATGAGAAAGGAGATGTGGTACTTTTTCTGGCATCCTTCAAAGATATAACGGATACAAAAGTGAAGATTACTCCCGAAGATAAAAAAGAAGGTTTGTACTGTTTTCAGAAAACATTGACAGATGGGGCAACATTTTGAAATTGTTTATTCAAAAACTCTGAAAGAAAGTCTTTTTAAATAACAGCAACTCATGAATATTCATACCTATTCCAAAATCGTAGAGACTCATAGCAATTTACATTCTCTTTTTTTTGTATTAAAAACTCAATTGACAAGAATCAAAAGTGCATAGCCCTACACAAATAGGATGAAGATAGGAAAATAATTTACCAAAATAAAAAGATTTTTACCATTTTGTTTTATTAGGGGGGAAATGAATTGATAGTGACAAGTAAAGTTAAAATAATGTGATTAAAAATACATCTCTCCAAGTCACCTAAATTGCAGCAGCTCAATACTTAAATGTGCAAATTTCATTTTATGTACAAAATTAAGAACTCAAATTTAGTGGTTTTTAGGGTGGAATGTTGCAAAGAAATGTGTATCTGTATTTGGTAGTATATGACCATATAATAATTTGTTTTATTTGCAAACAAGCTTCTCAATGATCCTTGAAGGATTCTAAGACTATGTTGCTTACCTTTTATTTCCTGTCTATAGTTAACTAAGAAGCAAACTGCATTTTATGTCAAAATGGCAAAGAGTAATACTGAAAAAATGCTGCTATTGTTTTGTTTAACCAGCGGTAGAGTGAGATAATTTGGTGACCAGAGAAAAAGAGTTGCCACTGTAGGGCTTTCCTATGTTGTAAGTTATTTGTTAGAAACGGCAATTTGACAGTTCAAAAGCTATGTCTTGTTAAGAATGGGCTCTTTTACTCCAGCTTTTTTGAAAAGTGTGTGAGAGTGTTTTAAATATATTGCCTCTTGAAATGACAATACAAATGGAGAACAGTCATGGTTTGCCCCTCCCCCCTTCCTATTGTTTGAAATGTTTGCAAATATAATACATGACTTTTTCCTGTGTATTTGCATAACTAAACACTGTGGCATGTTTTACATTCTTAAGGGAAGAGCTATCTTATAATTAAAGTTACTTGGATATAAGAGCAAGTATAATGGCCATCCAATGAGAGAAAGGTGTGGACATCCCTATGTATAGTTTTGGATTTACTGTTTTCTTTGATATTTGAGAATACAAAAGATCAGTATATACTGTTTTTATTCACACTTCTGACACCAAATGTGTGGGGGTTTTCCATGCCCATTCTGCAGCTCTCTGGACACCAACTGAATGTCCTATAATTTAATTCAGTTCTGACACTAAGTACCCAGAGTTAGTGTCAGATTATTCAGGTGTAAGGGTTTCTTCCCACACTTCAGATTCTAATCACAGTATTGGGTGCCCAGGGAACACACAGATTTTTGTCCAGCTTGACTCAAAGTTGGGGATTCTCACTTGAATAACTTTCTGGAACGTATCACAGAACTCAAGGAAACACTTATATTATTACAAACTAGAAGACTAATGCATGAAATTCGTCCACTTGCAGGGTCCCTCAGCCCAGCCTGCACCCTCTCGCAGTCCAGGGGATGTCCAACTGATGGCTTAGGCCCACTCTCTGTGGTCCTAAGCCATCAGTCAGACATCCTTAGCACTGCCATGGAGATCGGAGAGGCTCCCACCACCAGCTGCTGCATTCGCCAACTGTGAGCCCAGCTCAGGGCTTCTGACTGAGCAGTGCTCCCCTGTGGGCGTGCACTGACCATCAGGGGGCAGCTCCTGCATTGATTATCTGCCCCCTCATGGTCAGTGTACATCATAGCGACTGGTCATTCCACCATTCCGTCAATTTGCATATTAGCCTTTTATTATATAAGATGATACAACTCGGGGAGAGTCAAATGGAAGAGGTGCATAGGGCAAGTTATGGGTCAGAGAGTTGAAGGTTGCCATGCTCTTTCAGAGTTTGCCAGGACATATTTTTTCTGTTGCTACCTTATTGTAAATGTTCCACAAAAGTATGTAGTACTTTTTATAGAGGTAAAGCAACTACTGCAAGCCAGCATGATTATAAAATTATCATTAAAAAATAGTGAGGTATATATTTCTCTTTTCTTACCTACCCTTGATAGAGGAAAATATCTAAAAATTCACAAATTGATGGCATTATAGCAGGAAAGGCAACCTCATGCATGATATTTTTAGAATTTTAAGATAGTGTTTGAAAATCATTAAAATGTCACCATCTAGCTGAAGCGGTGTTGTATCATAGAACTAGGAATCTCTGAACTGACTTGACCCAAGATTGCTCCTTATATCAGTGTTATCACTGAAGTTCAGCTAAGTTGTAAAAATAAGGCTTGTGTTAATTAAATCAATTTCCTGCTAAGACTCATATGATGGCCTTCTTTTTAAGAGTATAAGTTGTATACTTCCATTTTTAAAAATACTTCAAATCATTAATATCTACACTGTCGAGTTTTTATTTGAAATGAGAAAAAACATATTTTATAGAAAAGGCTAACAAGGTATGTACTCAGTTTCACATCTCAATTTTCCAATCTTTTGTCATAGCAGCTCATTCATCATGTTAATTTCATTTTTATTTAAGCCATTTTAGTATAATAATGTGCCATGTTTTTTCCAGACACAGGACCCAGTGCAATTATTTTGTTTATTTCTTGCAGGGTGTCCCAGATTTGGTTTGAAATGAGGGCTGACACTGGGTTATTCATTATGTGGCAACATCATCCATTATGCCAGAACTGGGGAATTCCAATTCCAATTTCTAAAAAGTGGGCACTTTGCTAGTACATTTGTCTTGACAATGTAGGGATTTCTGTACGAAGCTTTTCACGTTATTTTCAGTGGTCATAAAAATCAGTATTCAAATGCAATGGGTGTCCTTTTTGCAATCTGGCTTTTGACAGGCAGCCGCAGGTTACTATTAAGTACACTGACAAAAGTTTTTGTTTTGTTTTTTTAAATCTGCCCTTTCCTATTACTAAATAGATCCAGAAGAAATAATAACAGCTATACTAAATAATGACATATGCATTTACCTATAAGAACCTGAGCATCTAAGGTAAGTGTAAATAATCAGGACTTATTTTTCTCATATGTTGAAGAGTCTGGAGCTAAGCAGCCCAAGGCTAGAATAGCAACAGCAGTACTCATGGGCACTCAGACTCTTGGCCTTTCTGCTCTGCTGTTCTTAACATGCTATTTGCCATCCTCATACTTGTCACCTTCTGGTTGGAAGATGCCTGCTGCACCTTTAGAATTTATTGCTGTTGCGTAGACAGGAAGAGTGAAGGACAAAGGACAAGGGCTCTTCCCTACGAGGCTTTGTCTTTGAATGGAGGAAGGAAATGTCCTGCCTTCTGCATCCCCCTCCTGCCAGGGATTTCCATCAATGTGTCGTTGACCTTGACTGTGCCACATGGTCCTGGCCCTCTCTAGCGGCAATGAAGGCTATGAAATCAAGGGGTTTGGTCTACTTTTTACCCTTCACGTAGGAATAGCCAAAGAGAAAAGCCTTGAAAGTGAGGTTAGATCAGAGTGTCTAGTATTTATTGATTATTTTCTATAAGCCAGATGGATAACCCAACATCCTACAATGTAGAAGAGTGAGACTTATGAGAGTAGGTAGAATGCCAAAAGCCTCAGGACTGTGAAGAGGTAGAGACGGGATTGAAACCCAGGAGTGTCTGGTCTAAGAGCTCATATCTTTTCACTGTGCCAAGGAGCCTCCTATGTCAACAAATGAGAGGGAATTGGAAATGAGGTGGAAAGAAGGCTGGGCTTGTCTCCGTTCCTTCCACAAACTCCTACCAATGATTGTTGTTGAAAATGAATACTCCTGCCCCAATTTGTTTTACCATTCTCATTTCTTATTTAAAGTCCTGAATATTCACAGTGGAGTCCAAGAGAGAACTTAGTGTATTGGCATCACCTGGGAGCTCATTAGAAATGCAGAATCTCAGGCCCTGCATGAGATCTCTGAATTAGAACCTACACTTTCACAAGATCCCCAGCTGATTCACAGGCACATCAATGTTTGAGAAGCCTTGTGCACATGCATCCTTTAGAAAGGTCTTCTCTGGCCAAAACCGGTTTGGCTCAGTGGATAGAGCATCTGCCTGTGGACTGAAAGGTCCCAGGTTCGATTCTGGTCAAAGGGATATATCTTGGTTGTGGGCACATCCCCAGTAGGGGGTGTGCAAGAGGCAGCTGATCGATGTTTCTCTCTCATCGATGTTTCTAACTCTCTATCCCTCTTTGTAAAAAAATCAATAAAATATATTTTAAAAAAAAGAAAAGAAAGGCCTTCTCTGACCATATGGTCAGAAGTTACCCACTTCCCCTCTCTATCACATCTTCTCCTTCATTGTCTTCATAGCATTTATGGTTATCAGTGACAAAATCTGTTGCCGAAAGTTTATTTTGAAATTGTTCTCCACTCCATAAAAATGGAAGCTTCATCAGAATATAGGCTTTTCCCCTTGTGTTTAGGATCATAAATCCAACAAGTAAAGACTGTTCTAATAGTGAAAAAATAATAATAATAATTTGATTGTCGGGTGGATAAATAAATGAATGCATAAATGATGTCCAATTTAGGTAATTTGACTATTTGGAGATAGAACACAGTAACATTCTTGCTTTTTCTTAATTATCAAAGCAGTGTGTCTCAAGTGCACATTCTGATGAATATATTGTTTGGTTGTGTTCTGCTTGATTTAAGTCAAAGATAATTTGAAGGTATTTACCAAAATCAGTTCCTTCTCAAATTGTGTCTATGCTGTTGGTGTTGAGTAGCCCTTTCACTTCAAGTAGAATCTCTGCTGTTTGTTAAATTTTTGTTCTTGTTGACTCTGGGTCTGCCTTTCAGTTATTGAGAATCTCAATTTGTTCACAATATTTGAGACAACTGAAGTTGTTTGAAGTTCTCCAAAAGGATAGGTGTTAAGCCACTGATCAGATACTAATTTAGGTCTGACATGATTATATGTACTTTGAATATTTTAATTTTCAATGTGGGATATAGTAATAATGTCCCTTTCACTTGCTGAAATATTCTGCCTG